GAGTGTGGGTTGGGGCGGAACCTCGCCGATAGATAGTGGGTTGGGAGATCGATGGATGAGAGAGGGTTTGAGTGTGGGGTGGGTCTCGAAATTCTTGTTTTTTTCTTCGGTTTTGGACTTCCTTTTTTCGTCACCGTCCTCCTCCTTCTGCTTCTTCTTCTTCTTCTTTCTTCTTCTTCTTCTTCTTCTTCTTCTTCTTCTTCTTCTCCCTCCTCCTTCTCCTCTTCCTCTTCCTCCCTTTCGTCCCCTCCCTCCCCCTCCCACTCCACCTCCCCCCTCCCGTCCTAGTTTCCTTCCCTGCCACCCGATTGACCTTTTCACCATCCAAATGACCTTCCTGCAACGGTCACCCCTTTGCAACGCCGGCAGGACACAAGACGCAAGATTACCCCTCCACCCCACCCCACCAACACCCCTCCCTCCCTCCCCCTTCCCCAACCGCCCCTTAAATGTCACAAAAAAGGAAAGAGAGAGAGAGAGAGAGAGAGAATAAAAATCGAGCCATTATGACCTCGGTGTTCGGTTCCTAGACCAACGAGGCTGCCATAAAACCGCCGATTTCTACACCATCTACACCCCCCCCCCAACCCTTTCCCTTTCTTTCCTCTTTCTCCTCTGTGTCTTCTCCTTCCTTCCTTCCTTCCTTCCTCTTCCTCCTCTTCTTTTCACTTGGCTTTATCCTTCTCTCTTCTTCCTTTTTACTTTCCTCTCCTTGCCCCCCGAATCTTTTCTCCTTCTCCTCTTTACCTTCCCTTTCTTCCTCATGTCTTTACCTTCCCTTCCTCTCCTTCCTCTTTCCCCACTTTTTTTTCATTTGCCATTTATTCTTATCTCTTCTTCTATTTACTTTGCCATCTTCTCACCTTTACAGCTGTAAGACTTTTTTTTTCGTATGTTCACTCTTTCTTTCGAATTTTGATCAATGTTTTTCTGTGTGTGTGTGTGTGTGTGTGTGTGTGTGTGTGTGTGTGTGTGTGTGTGTGTGTGTGTGTGTGTGTGTGTGTGTGTGTGTGTGTTGTTTGTGAACACGCTTGACTTGATTACACAACGATGACAAAAAAAGTTGTTTATAGCGTTCTGTTTGGGTTGGGCTGCGTGTATGTGTATCAGGAACACATACACCTTGGCTGCCCCCCTACCCTCCCCCTCCCCCTCCCCCCGTTCTTCGCAGCAACACCTGGTAAACTTCCTATTGTGATGACGTCATCGTTGTTTACCAAGCGGCGCCCTCTCGGGAGGCGATTTCGGAAACTCCAGTCGGCCCTTGAGCTCGAGAAGCTCGGCCTCTTTCTGGCTCCCCCTCCTCCTCTTTATCGTTCTTCATCTTTCTTCTCCTTCTTCTTCTTCTTTTTTTTCTTCTTCTTCTTCTCCTCCTCCTCCTCCTTACTTCGTCTCCCTTTTCTCTCTTTTTCTCTTCTTTCTTCCTCTCCCTCTCGCTTATTTCCATCTCCCCTTCCTCCCTCCTTTCCTCTCGTCTTCTACCCCCCTTCCCTCCCTCCCTCCTCCTTCCCTCCCTCCACTGCCTTTGTTTGTGTCGCGACGGGCGAGCGTCGGCGCTGGCACCCTGCGAGAGCCCGTGGCACCGACGGCGGCGGGGGCAGCGAGTGGCCCGCGTCGCCCCGGGCTCTGTGCCAACTTCCGGTGGTCAGCCAAACATCCGGCGCGTTGGGAGAGCGGCGTCGACGTCACCCGGGCATGGCGTCAGCGGGGCGTCAGTCATACAGATACTGATAAGATAAGGAGGGGGGGAAGGGGAGGAGGGGGGAGGAGAGGGAGTATCGTGGTACCCATACATCATGACCAGGACGAGTTCTCTTTATAGTGTTCTGTTTCTCTTCCTCTTATTCTCTTTCATTGCCTTTTTTCTTCTTTCTTTATCGCGAGAGTGCCACGTCTTGCAAGAGCGGCTTTGGCTCTGTCAACACGGGGTTGCGTCAGGTTTGTTATGCTCAGTGCCGGGAGGGGGGTGGAGGTGGGGGGGGGGTATTTTTCTCGATTCTTTCATTCTGCCAAGTTCGCTTTGTTGTTTTCCTTGTCCTACCTGTGGGGTGTTTTTTTTTTTTTTTTTCTTTCAGGGTTCACTTGTAATTCTGTTTATCTCTGGCTGTCCATTTGTTAGTGGTTATCCCCTATTTACGTCATCTCTCTCTCCTCTCTCTCTTCTCTCTCTCTCTCACTTCTCTTCTCCTCTCTCTTCCTCTCTCTCTCCTCTTCTCTCTTTCTCTCTCTCTCTCTCTCTCTCTCTCTCTCTCCTCCTCTTCTCTCTCTCCTCTCGCTCTCTCTTCTATCGCTCTCTCTCTCTCTCTCTCTCTCTCTCTCTCTCCTCTCTCTCTCTCTTTCTGCTCTCTCTCTCTCCGTCCTTCTCTCTCTCATCTCTTCTCTCTTCCTGCCTCCTCCCTCTCCTCCCTCCTCCCTCCCTCCCTACCTCCCTCTCTCCTCTCTTCTCCTCTATCCTCTCCCTATCTCTCTCTGCTCATTCTCCTCTTCTCTCTCTCTTCTCGCTTCTCTCTCTTCTCTCTCTCCCCTTTCTCCTCCCAGTCTCTTCTCTGATCTCTCTCTCTTCTCTCTCTCCTCAGACTCTTCCCTTTCATTCCCTGTCTCCCTCTCTCTTTCTCACTGCATGCCATCGCGTAATGTCCTGTGTCCTTGATTCTTCCTCCGAGACGCTGCCACCTCCCCCCCCCTCCCCCGTCCCCAGTGTTGCCATTTCACAATCGGACGGCGGGGGGGGGGGGGAGTAGGGGAAGGGGGAAGGGGACTAGAAATGAGGAATTTTCGGAATTTCGGCATAAATCCGGATTCGGATATTTGCGATAGAGTGTATCGGCCGTATTGGGGGATTAGGGTACTTCTTGGGGGGGGGGATATTAGGCTTGGGGGTTGTGGAGGGGTGGGGGGTGTGGGGTGGGGGTTTGGGTGGAGGTACTTTAGCTCTTTTTTTCGTTTTGTTTTTTGTTTTGTTTTGTGTGTTTGTTTGTTTGTTTGTTTATGGTTTTGTCTTCTTTTTTAGTGAGTGTCTCAGATATCTGTTGATGACGACCGTGAGTGTGAAGGTGTATGTGCTTATCTTATCGCGGAGATAAAGGCCGATAAGGGGGGGGGGGGAGCGAGCGAGAGAGAGAGAAGGTCCTGTCGAGACACAGTCCGCTTCTCCATTCTAGTGAACACTCACCTGTGATGTGGACTTCACCTGGGAAAAAGGGGCGCTCGTGTTCTACGTGGTGAGTGGCGGGGGTTGGGGGGGAGGGGGTGCTGGGGATGGGCGGTGGTGCTAGGATGGGTGGTGGTGCTGGGGATGGGGGTGGGTGGCTGGGGATGGGCGGTGGTGATGGGGATGGGCGGTGGGGATGGGGAGTTGGAGGATGGGTGTGAGAGGGGAGGAAGGTGAGAGGGGGGAGGAAGGGCGAGGTGGTGATGGGGAGTGAGGTGTTTTGACGGTCCCGGATGGGGTGGTAGAGGGGGGGAGTGGTGTTTGTATGTGTATGCGTCTGGGTTTCTGTGTGTTTGTGTGTGTGTGTGTGTGTCTGGGTCTATGTGTGTGTGTGTCTCTGTGTCTGTGCCTATGTGCGTGTGTGTGGTGTGTGTGTGTGTGTGTGATTTGGGCCTGGTGTGGCGAGCGGTGATGAGTTATGGTGATGACGCGGACGAAGCGGCGGAGAAGAAAGGCGAGAAGAGGAGGAGAGAAGCGGCGGCAGAAGCTCTCGAGGCCTGCATTCGGGTCCGCGTGGCCCGGCGTGCGTGCGTGCGTGCGTGCGGGCGGGCGCTCTGGAAGGGCGGCGATTCCCTCACGGAACATGAGGTCACACTTTTTTGGATTTGCTTGCTTTTCTTCTTCATCTTCTTCTTTTGCATTTTTCTGCTTCTTTCCAGTTTTGTTTTGTTTTTTCAAGTTTCTCCGTGTTCTTCCTCCTCCTCCTCCTCTTCTTTCTCTTTTTACTATTTCCCCCCCTTTTATTCATTTTTTCTTCTACTTCCCTCGCGCAATCCAATTTCTTCCCTCTATTTCCTATAAAAGTTTCGACGTAAAAAAAAAAAACAAACGAATAAATAGAAAATAAACGATGGCAGGAGAGAGAAAAAAAAAAATACCCGCGCTTCCCAGGTGCGAATCGGCGGGCGCAGGCGCGGGGCGTGGGCCGTGGCGGGCGGGGCGGGGGCGCGGCGGGAGTGACACTTCCGGGGGCGGGCGGGCGGGCTAATGCGGCGTGGTGGGCGCTCCGAGCGATCGTCGCCGGGGATTTAATGGGCGTGTTCAGCGGGCGGGGAATTGGCGGCGGTTGCAGGTGGTGATGGGATGATGATGATGGTGATGATGGTGGGGTGAATGTGGGGAGTGCAAGGCGAGAGTGGGTCGAGCCGCGAGCTGGCTGGTCGGGTACATCTCTCGCTCTCAGCTCTCGTGGCTCGTCTCTGTCTCTCTTTCTCGCTCCTCTTCTCGCACTCTTCTTCTCTCTCTCGGTCTATTCTCTCTCTCTTCTCTCTCTCTCTCTTCTCTGCTCTCTCTTCTCTCTCTCCTCTCTTCTCTCTCTCTCTCTTTCTCTCTCTCTCTTCTTCTCTCTCTCTCTCTCTTTCTCTCTCTCTTTCTCTCTCTCCCTCTTTCTTCTCTCTCTCTCTCTCTCTCTTCTCTCTCTCTCTCTCTCTCTCTCTCTCTCTCTCTCTCTCTCTCTCTCTCTCTCTCTCTCTCTCTCTCTCTCTCTCTCTCTCTCCCTCTCTCCTCTCCTCCCTCCCTCCCTCCCTCCCTCCTCCTCCCTCGCGCCATAACGGGCCTTGCGCGCGCGAGAGGAGGTCACGCCGGGAATGGGAATCTGGAATGGGAATCTCGAGTGGAGGTTCCTGCTTGGAATGTTGGCGTTCGAGTGTGGATGGAATTTCTGTTGTTGTTGTTTTTTTTTTTACTGTATCTGTCTCGTTGTTTTTTATTTATTTTATTTTTTGTTTATTTGTTTATTTGTTTATTAACTTTTTTGAAGAAGCTAATGATTTTTTTTATTTCCTTCCAGACTCTCAAAGATGAAATGGCCGAGGTCACAGCGGAGATGGAGGCGCTGGATACGGGGGAAGACAGGTCAGTGACTAGTTTTCTTTTGTTTATTGTTTTTCCTTCTTCTTTTCTTTTATCAGTCTATCCCCACCTCTCTCTCCCTTCCTCACTCCTTCTCTCTTACCTCTTGCGTTCGCTCATACCCTCCCACGCTAGCACGGGTTTTCCCACGCTGGACCTGTTCAGTTTTCCCACGCCCGGAAGGATTTTCCCACGCCCGGAAGGATTTTCCCACGCTCTTAAAAATCGGAATATCCCTTTGCATCCGTTGTACCTGCTGGCGGTAGACCTAGCGCGGGTGGACGCGGCTCGGGGCGGGTGCGAGGGCGGGCGCAAGTGTATGGGTGAGGCCAGGGACGGGGTGGGAGTGGGTGTAGCGGGTGTGGGTGTGGGGCCAGCAAGGGGGAGTGGGGGGAGGGGGGGCGAGGGCGTGCGTCAGGCGTTTATCACGAGCCTGCTTGCTTGTGGCAGGTCCGCTTTCCTGCTGGGGAAATCACAGGCAGTTTATCTTCCCGTTCTTTGCAATCGTTATTTCTTTTCCTCCTTTTTTTATAAATTGTAACTTGGAGGCCAAAGGGAGGGGGAGGGCGGGGGGGGGAGAGGGGGAAGGGCGGGGGGAGATAAATGTGCCTTCGGGCCGGCCAGTCACTGGGTCGCTCGCGCGCTCGTGTGCTTGCGACGGGGGAGGAGAAGCTGGGGAGGGAGGGGAGTGGAACGCCTCAGGGGGGAGCTCCGGCTGTAGAAGGACGTCCCGTAGTGTTATCTTCTCATTTATTTGCATATTCCTCTCTCCCTCGCGGTCGTCACTTGTGAATGGGCGCCTCGCTCCGCCCGGGACCTGCACCAGGCGGAAGCCCTTGATGTCCCGGGGGCGGGAGGAGGGAGGGGTGAGGGGTGAGGGGGAGGGGGGGTGAGGGTGACTCACTGGACAGATATTTTGATAAGGTTCAGTTCTTCGCCGCGGATGCCTCATCCCGCGGGAATGCTTGTTCTTTATATATCTCCCTTTTTGTGCCGGTTGTGCATTCCGTGTGTTGTTGGCTTCGCGGTTGCTTATCACTTTGTTGTTGTTGTTGTTTTTCTCCGTCGTTCTCTTCGTGTCTTCGCCGTTGTGCTCACGCCATGTTCACTTTCGTCACCAAAATCTTCGTCGTATCTCCATCTTCTCCCCCTTTTTTTTTGGCCTTCTCTTCCTCCCTTTTCTCCCTCCCTCCCTCTCTTATGCCCTCCTTCTCTCTCTCTCTCTCGCCCGTTTTCCCCTTATCGGCCCGTGGGAATCCGGGAATTCCCCCTCGGATCGCGATTCCGGCGTCGTCGCGGGCGGAGGCGACGGCGACCTCGGACAAGCACAATGGCTCGTTAGGGCGCCTTTTGTCTCCCGAGGAGGCGGGTTTTATGCGGGAGATGTGGGTTGGCGGTCGGGGAGGGGAGGTGGGGGGGATGTTTATTTATTTCTGTTTTGTCTGTCTTTGTCTGTTCTGTCTGTGTCTGTCTGTGTCTGTCTGTCTGTCTGTCTCTGTCTGTCTGTCGTCTCTCTCTCTCTGTCTCTCTCTCTCTCTCTCTCTCTCTCTCTCTCTCTCTCTCTCTCTCTCTCTCTCTCTCTCTCTCTCTCTCTCTCTCTCTCTCTCACACACACACACACACACACACACACACACACACACACACACACACACACACACACACACACACACACACACACACACACACACACACTATTTCGTTCTCCCTCTTTTCCTATCTTTATCTCTCTTTCTTCGACCTTTTCCCTTGCTTTTACTCTTCCTCCCATTCTCGCACACGCACGCAAGCACACGCGCCAGGTGACGGAGGACGAACACTTGGCCCTGTCCGTGGCCGTGCTCTTGGCTTCGCGCGTGGGGGGGGGAGAGAGAGAGAGAGAGAGAGAGAGAGAGAGAGAGAGAGAGAGAGAGAGAGAGAAGAGAGAGAGAGAGAGAGAGAGAGAGAGAGAGAGAGAGAGAGAGAGAGAGAGAGAGAGAGAGAGAGAGAGAGAGAGAGAGAGAGAGAGATGGGGGAGGGAGGGGGGATGCAGGCAGGTGATCCGTTGTTTTGAGTGAGGAGAGGAGGAGGAGGAGGAGAGGAGGAGGAGGGAGGAGGAGGAGGAGGAAGGAGGAAGAGGAGGAGGAGGGATTGAGGGAGGAGGCGAGGAGGCGAGGTGCGGTGGCGCTGACTGTGGCGGAGGCGGCTGTGTCTGCCAACGGCGTATTTATTTGTAGGAGTTGGGTGTTGTGTGAGGAGGGGGTGACGGAGCGGCGGGAGGCCGTGAGGAGACCGTCGCTGGGCCATGAGGGGGCGGTGAGCGGAGGGAGGAGGGAGGGGAGAGGCGGTCAGGGGGGGGGGGCAAGGAGGAGGAGGTAATAATGAGGCGTTGAGAGGGCAATGAGGAGGGCGCGAGGACTCGAGGAGGCGGCGGCGGCGCGTCTGCCTGTCCCTCCGGCGCCGAGGGACGGGGCGCGGCCAGCAGACTCGAGCCCGTCTGGAGTCTCGAGGAGAGGTCGGGGCGCTCTCGGCCGCGCTCGGCTCTGCGGGCGCTCTTGGGGGGGGGGGGATCTCCTCTCCTGGCGTGTGTGTGTGTGTGTGTGTGTGTGTGTGTGTGTGTGTGTGTGTGTGTGTGTGTGTGTGTGTGTGTGTGTGTGTGTGTGTGTGTGTGTGTGTGTGTGTGTGTGTGAGGTAAGGGTGGCATTTATGGTTGTTTTGTTCGTCCAGAGTCCAGGGGGATTAGCGTGTATGGATTGTTATTCATGTGTTTATCACTGGCTCTTCCTGCTTTGTCTTTGTCCTTCCCTCTCCGTCCATATTCGTCCTTTATCACTTTTCTCTCCTCCTGTTCGTCATTCCTCGGGTCTTCCATGCTTTCGTTTCTTCCTTTATGACTTTGTCTTTTTTTTTGGTAGTGTGACCCGGCGTTCTGCGAAAGAAATTGTTGAAAACGCTTGTGTGTTTGCCCCCGCCCTCCCCCCCTCCCTAACCTCTACCCCCTAGCTCCACCCCCCCCACGACCCCCCCCCTCCCCCCAGCCCCAGTGCACCCCCCCCCCCAGGCGAGCGGCGCTGATGGCGTGCTTGTGGTCGCCAGCCTGCTTGTTGCTGGACGTCAGCCTCTCGACACGTCCATGTACACCTCTCGCATTCGCCCGCGCTTGGGGAGACCGCTATGTACAGCTATGCTCATTCTCTCTAATGCAGCGGTATTATGCGTTGTGTGTTGTGTGCGTGTGTGATGTGTGTTGTGTGTGTGTGTGTGTGTGTGTGTGTGTGTGTGTGTTGTGTGTGTGTGTGTGTGTGTGTGTGTGTGTGTGTGTGTGTGTGTGTGTGTGTGTGTGTGTGTGTGTGTGTGTGTGTGTGTGTGTCCTCCTCGGGGCTATGGGCGAACCAGCCGCGCTCTTACCTGTAATGTACCCGAAGGACATGTGTGGAAACGTGCCATAAACTTACCCCCCCCCCCTCCACTGAGTTGGCTCTCAGATAAAGGCGCACACGCTCACGCGTTCACACACACACGCACACGCACACGCACCACGCACACGTACACGCACACGCACACACACACGCACATTCTTACACGGAGGCAGGATGTATACGCACACAGTAGCCTTCACGCTGCCTGTGCTTTATTCCTGCATTGTTGTCTGTCATCCTCGTCCTGTCGCCCCCCGCCCCCCGCCCCCTGCCCCGCCCCCTGCCCCGCCCCCTGCCCCGCCCCCTGCCCCGCCGCGTCGCCCGGGCCGGAGATTCCCACGTGCCGCTCGACGTGGGGTCTGTCACGCCCACGTGTGGTCGCCCGACGTGTGTGCGGGGCGGAGGGCGCCTCTGCACGGCGGGAACGGAGGGCGCAGCGTTTGGCCCGACTCGGGTGGGCGCGGAAGCTGGCGGGATTTGAGGCAGGGTCGGCCGGGGCTCTGCCAGGGGGACTGCGCTGCGTCGCAACGCCTTGGCGGCGGAAGGGCCTCGCGCGGGCTGTCACTCGGCGACGCGCGGGGACGGCCGCGGTCCGCGAGGGGCCAGGAACATTTCGCGTCCCGGCCTGAGCTCCACAGGCAGGCGAGCAGGCGAGCAGGCGAGCGGATACGCGACGTGGACGTCTGATGCGTCCTTGGAAGGCATCGCAGGGCTTCGTGCCTGCGAGCGGGGCGGCACAGTACGCAGCGTCCTTCACTCTCCGAGGACTTCGCGGGAAGTCCCTTGGCCGCCGGAGCTCCCATTCCAGGCTCAGACATGTCCGGGTGTTGCTCAAGAGCCTGTTTTGCCCCCGCCGCTCCTCGCGCTCTTTCCTATTTCTACATTTCCCTCTTCTTTCTCTCTCCTCTCTCTTCGCATAGTCCCACCCTCCCCTGGCAAATTCCTTGCGGTTCTCTCTTCTCTCCATTAATTCCGCCTCCCCTCCCCCCCCAGCCTCTCTCACAACCCTCCCCCTCCCCCTCCCTCCCCCTCCCCCTGTGTCCTTCCCGTCCTCATCCCGCGGCGCCCTGGCTCCCTGGCTCCCAGCATCTGCGGCGAAGGCGGCCTCCGGAAGGGGGATCGTTTCCCATTCGCCTCAGAGGCTGATTCCCGTCATGAGGCTTTGTTCGGCTCTTCCCTCGCTGGCCCTCTCTGGCCAAGGCTCGCACGGCCCGCAACCGGCGCTCAGCCTTGGCCAGCGAAGGCAATGCTGTGACTGCAATCCCCGTCGCTTGCCTTTGCATAAAGCTTTCTCCCGATTTTGCCTCGCGGTCGGCAGGTGGAAGGGAGGGGGAGGGGGCCCTCGGCCGTGCCCCGCAATACACTCACAATGGCGCGGCAATGCTTGGACAATCACGCGGCTCATTATCCATCGGTCCATTGTCGGTGCATGTGTAAATACGGGGCAGCCAGCCGTCCCCCGCCCGCCGCAGCCGAGTGGAAGGGGCGGAGATTAACTGAGGGGGGGGGGGCAGGGGGGATTTTTGGAGAGCCGGGGCTG